TCATTACAATTTTGGGTGTAGAGCCATGTAGTAAATTGTAAGAAGCAGCAGCTGACAGCAAGGAGACGCGCTCGTAGATAAGCTTTATTTTGCGTTCATGGCACACATAAAGCCGAGGAAACAAGTCATACCGATAGCACTGCCACATTGCCAAACAAGGTGAAACCAAATAAAGCTGCCTACCGCTCTAATCATCGAGATAGCCTACATTAGAAGAAAATGGGTTGACATCTGGTTTATTGGTGCATCTGCTGCCCGACGTTTTGATGACATACGCCTCAAATATTTCTGGCTCCCGTTTTCTTTTATAACTTATTACTACTCGCGTCTTCTCAAGCTCAGGTGCGCAGTTTCCTGAAGCGCACTGCTTGCTAGAATGGGGAGCGAAATTGCTTCCCGTGCCACGCCTAATCGTGCTCTTAGAAGATCATTGAAGCACCGACCCGTTTAGCCAACGTACACCAGTCCGCACATCAAAGGGATCACGTGCACGACGTTCCTACGGCACCCGATCAAGAACGTGACGTGCTTCTTCGTGCGCGTCGGCGTCCTGTGTTCAGAATCGTTCACTTTGCATCACATAGCTCCTAGCCTGTATGGGGCGCTGAAGAGAAAACGAACAGCTGCGTGTCCCATTGTCACAATAGCCGTTGTGCTAGCAGACAAACACGCGTTGTTCTATGCATCGCAGCCAAATGAAGGACGTTGGCACAATGAGCTTCCAATACAAGGAGAGCAAAATATGTCCCCAAATCGTTCAAGACGCAAGGGTAACGTGAAAAAATGAGTAGTATTGAATACTCGGCAAGCTGGTAACGGTATGCTACCGCAAGGCCAGTTACTCGAAAGTGTGAGTGAGTACGTAGTGAATGACAATGATGAGAAATTTTTAGGAACAAAAACAGCACTTCTGTGCAAGGTTTCCTTGAGCTGTCGTTCTACCTTAGGTCTACCTCTATAGGGTGGGCAGGTGACGTCTATGTACGGAATTCAGGAGTGCGCAACGGGTCAAAAGTCACTCAGTTCTCAGCAATATATTTTGTTCAAGGTTGACAAGGCTGTTGAGGCTAACTTAACCAGGCTGGCGAGAAATGTTTAAAGGTACGTGATCGACTACACCACTTTTGGAGATAGGTGACTTCACAAAAAATGCCAATAGCAATCTAAAAATCTTCAGAGAGAATCCTCTAGGGTGAGTTTTTACGCGTAAAATGCCGTCGCAAGGTGTGTCACAATTTTTAGACCGACGCTTATCCTTCCCTGATAAGAAAGCACGTTGACACCATCCTCGTAGTTTCAAGCCCTTGCTTTCTTTCGCTTCTGCTCATTCGAATATCATAAAAAACGGTATCGCCTTTTCCGCTTTGAAGTCTGCAATAATCAAGTCATGTGATCATTAAATGTCCACGAGCGTAAAATTGGAAATCCTGAGGCTAAAAGAAGCTAATTATGTGGCAGGTGTTGTTTGGCTGGCTTTCCATAAGCCTATGCGTAATTTGAACAGTTACCTTAAACGTAACACAACAACAGCCAAAAAAAGGGAAAAGAAGATATTCGTCGTTTTACCTTACGTTCACCAACTGACGCATAGGCTTAAGAAATTGGGTGCACACCATGATATTGATGTGATTTTCGCTGCTAAGTATGAGGTTGTGGCGAAACGGATTGGCGCCGCTTCTGCGCCTGCGCGTCGTGGCGATGCCTCCAAACATGGGCGCCGGCGATAAGAACACTCTCGCCCGAAAGAAGCAAGAAAACTGTGTGTGTGCCCCGATTCAGGGGCAGTCGTTGTAGAACCTTCAGTGCGCAAACCTAAAGTTATGTTATCCCACATCTGGTGACCCGGAAAACGAACGTAACGCACCGCCATAGCCGACGAGGAAACCCTTGCTGCCCATCAACAACAAGTACAACAACTGCAACAACTGCAGGCCCAGCAGCAAGTGATCCAGAACCATGAGCAGCAGCTCCGGGAACAGCAGCAGCGCAATGAAAATGAAGCACTCTCGTACGACGACCGTGCACCACCCCACTTGGGTCACGCCCCCCAAAACTTCCCTCCAGCGGTCCCTGCCACCTCGGGCACCTCCATTGCTGCGGCCGCCACCAACATGAAAATTTGTCGCGTCGCCGTCAAATTTCCGCCGTTTTGGGCAGAGGCGCCTGACGTGTGGTTCGCTCAAGTCGAGGCGCAGTTTTCCACGGCACGCATCACCAAGGACCGGACGCACTATGACTACGTCGTCGCCCATCTAGACTCTCGCTATGCGGCTGAGGTTCGCGATATACTTGCGATTCCCCCGGCTGATGACCATTACCTACACCTGAAGAGGGAACTGATCCGCCGGTATTCACCTTCACAAGACGAGAAGGTGCGTCACCTACTCCAGCACGAACTCCCTGACCGCAAGCCATCGCAGCTCCTGCGTTGCATGCGTGACCTCATGGGCAGCACCCCGGTCGACGACTCCCTCCTCCGTATCATCTGGCTTCAGCGTCTACCCTCACATGCGCAGGCCATCCTCCAGGTGAAGCCGAATCTGCCGCTGGACCAGCTGTCTCACATCGCTGGTCAAGTCGTTGAGATTTCGTTGCCAGCACCGCCTCTCACCGTCAACGCCGTTGACACCCAACAGTCCAGCGGCGAGCTCGCGCGCCATGTCGACGAAATCACGCGTCAGCTGGACTCAATTAAAAGGCGCCTGGATCAAAGCCTGAAGCTGCGTCCACGAAAACGCTCCCAAAGCCAAGACAACAATGCCACTTCATCGCACGAAATGATAATGGCCCCTGCTACAACCATCGCCGCTTCGGAGACAAAGCCCGGAAATGTCGACCACCTTGCTCAGCTGGACATCAGGGAAACTTCAACGGCAGCCCGTAGAGACGGCCGCTAGCTGCAACTTAGAGGTCGTCGCATATTTGTCACCGACCAAGTCACAAAGCGGCGGTTCCTCGTCGACTGCGGCTCCGAAATCTGTTGCTTTCCTCGAACTTTCCTGCGTGACAAGCGTCCTTACACGTCCTTTAAGCTCAGCGTGGCGAACCAATCGACCATCAAGACCTACGGCTCACTCCGCCTTAACATCAACTTCAAAAGCCTGTGTCGAGATTTTCCATGAAATTTCGTCTTCGCCGACGTTCCAGAGCAGATCATCGGATCCAACTTCTTGGCGTACTACAATCTTCCACCTGACTGCCGATATGACTGACTTCTCGACGCTACAACAGGCCTCTTCACGCCGGGCCAACGTGCGACCACCCAACAGACTAACGCCAAGGCACTCACCATTAGAACCAGTCGCCATAACTTGACATCCTCGCAGAATTTCCCGACATGACTCGACCTAGCGGGCGTCCGCGAGAGGTGTGCCACTCAACCGTGCACTACATTCGTACAACTCCCGGCCCCCCAGTTTTATGCCGCGTCCGTCGGCTAGCCCCGGACCACCTACGAATCGCACAGGCCGAATTCAAAGCCATGCTCGGCGAAGGTACTGCCCGCCGCTCGGAGGGACGTTACGCCTCACCGCTTCATATGGTACCAAAGAAGACCAATGGCTGGCACCCCTGCGGAGATTATCGCATCCTCAACGCCCGAACCGTCCCCGACAGGTACCCCGTCCATCATATACAGGACTTTGCACAGCGCTTAGACGGTAGCACTATCTTCTCAGTGGTGGACCTCGTAAAGGCCTACACACAATTTCCTGTAAACCCGGATGACGTCCCAAAGACCGCAATTATCACGCCTTTCGGTCTATTTGAATTCTCTTTCATGAGTTTTGGCCTCCGCAACGTGGGGCAACCTTTTCAACGTTTCATCGACGACGGCGTCCGCGGCCTGGACTTCTGTTTTGTCTACCTAGACGACATCTTGATCTTCTCCCGCAACGAAACGCAACATCGCCAACACGTTCGTCAACTCCTCCAGCACCTCGACGAACATGGCTTACTTAATAACGTTCAGAAAAGCATGCTCGGCGCCCCCGTCGGCACGTTTCTTGGCCATGAAATCTCTGCAGAAGGAACTAGACCCTTGCCTGACCGCATCCTGGCCCTGCCAAATTACGCGCTGCCTGCCACAGCGAAGGACCTCCACCGTTTCCTGGGCATGTTCAACTTTTTCAGGCGCTTCGTGCCTAAAGCGGCCACATATCAGGCCCCTCTCCATGATGCGTTGGCCGGCCAACGGTGCAACCATCCTGTAACTTGGACCCCAGCTTTAACGCAAGCGTTGGAAGACTGCAAAACTGCCCTCTGCAACGCTACGCTGCTCTCCCATCCCAAGCCAGAGGCGCCGCTGGGTCTTTTCACAGACACCTCTAGCACCGCCGTCGGAGTCTCTCATGCAGCGTGTGGGAAACAACTGGCGCCCCTTGGCGTTCTTCTCGAAGAAACTCTCTTTCCCAAGCCGCCCCCGCCTTCCGGAAGCATCAGCGATGCACCCTCGCCCCTTGCGGAGACGACCTGGCCAGCCTACTACAGAGAGCTCCTTGCCATCTACGAAGCAGTCCAACACTCTTGCCACATCCTCGAGGCACAACACTGCACCATATACACCGACCTTAAACCTATCACTTACGCCTTCTCCCAACGCCGCCAAAAACTCCAACGGTCCAGCAGAACCAGCTGTCCTTCATCGCTCAATACACCACAGATATCCGCCACATCAGCGGAAAGGAAAACGTGGTCGCTGACGCACTCTCTCGCGTCTCGGCCGTCGAGCTACCAACCGTTACAACCGACGCCCTCGCTGAAGCTCAGAAAACAAACATTGAACTCCAGCAGCTCCTCGGGAATGGCTCTTCCCTTCAACTTCAAAAAGTTACCATCCCTGGGTCAAAAGACGCTCCCTACTGTGATATATCAACAGGACGAGTGAGACCATACGTCCCTTCTTTGCATCGCCTAACCTCTTCAACCAGTTACACAACCTAAGTCATCCCGGCATCCGAGCTTCTACACGCCTCGTGACTGACCGGTACGCGTGGCCCTCAATGCAATGGGACTGCCGCACTTGGGCACGCACGTGCATTCAATGCCAGCACGCCGAAATCACCCGGCACGTCACGTCGCCACTAGGAGAATTCCCCCTCCCGACGAAATGGTTTCAGCACGTCCACATCGACATCATTGGCCCCCTCCCACCAGCCGGCCCGTACCGCTATTGCCTACCCGCCATCGATCGTTACACTCGTTGGCCCGAGGTGTGGCCGCTTGAAAAGATCACCGCAGAAGACGTCGCATCAGCCTTCTTCTCCGGCTGGGTTTCACGCTTCGGCACTCCTCGTCGAGTCACTACCGATCAAGGAAGGCAATTCAAATCTCAACTCTTCAGGCTCCTCGGGCTCTCCACCGGGTTCGACCGTTCACGGACAACTAGCTATCACCCTTGCGCCAACGGGATAATTGAACGGTTTCACCAGCAGTTCAAGGCAGCCATCATGCGCCGCCCTCACTCAACCTGGCTCGAAGCTCTTCCGGCTGTTGCTCTCGGTCAGCGTGCAACTTTCAAGCCAGACATTCAAGCCATGCCCGTGGAACTCGTCTACGGGGAGCCGCTTCGGCAACCTGCAGAACTCCTCTCCACTCCGACCTCCGATGTAACCAGCTCGGACCCTGCAGACTTCGTCGCTCGACTCCGTCGCACAATGGGTGCGCTGTGCCCCTCACCAGAGGCTCGCCACATCAAGCCGACCCCGTTTGTGTTTAAGAACCTGGCAACATGCTCGCACACCTTCCTCCGCGACGACACCGTACGCGCACCTTTCAAGCTGCCTTACTCCAGACCTTACAAAGTCATCTCTCGCGACGACAAAACATTCCCCCTGCAAATCAGTGGAAAGAACGTACGCGTTTCCATCGACCGCCTTAAGCCATCATACATCCTTTCCCAGGAGCCTACTAACCCCCGCACGCCACTCTTAATTCGCCGACAACAGCCCGCAACGCCTAGGCTCGCACCCTACACCACCCACCTTGGACGCCATTTGTGGATCCCCAAACGTCTTCAACCCTGACGCCTCCTATCTGCGTGGGGGGCGGGGGCGAAACGTGTCGGTGCCGCTTCTGCGCCTGCGCGTCGTGGCGATGCCTCCAAACACGGGCGCCGGCGATAAGAACACTCTCGCCCGAAAGAAGCAAGAAAACTGTGTGTGTGCCTCCATTCAGGGGCAGTTTGTAGAACCTTCAGTGCGGAAACAATGAAGTTATGTTACCCCACAAGGTCGGCACTGTTTGCGTGGTGGTGAGGAAACCCGCCGGAAACGCGGCGTTGTTGAAAAATGCATGCTCCATTAGGCAAAAACAATGCTTGTAAAATGTGCCATGTGCCATTGGAGTTGTATATAGCATACCCTTCCCGTGCGGACGCGTTTATATTGATTAAACGGGGTGGTGCGTAAACTCTAGACTGAGGGAGCACCGAAATTTCCCCCGGAGTCTTGTACCCTTGACACACTTGCCGATGCGCTGCCGCGACTGTGGGTGCAGTCCAGATTTTTTTTGAGAACGAGGGTTCTTTTCTGCCACCGCAACCAGCTCACAAGCGAAATGCCCCGCCGCGGTGGTCTAGTGGCTAAGGTACTCGGCTGCTGACCCGCAGGTCGCGGGTTCAGATCCCGGCTGCGGCGGCTGCATTTCCGATGGAGGCGGAAATGTCGAGGCCCGTGTGCTCAGATTTGGGTGCACGGTAAAGAACCCCAGGTGGTCAAAATTTCCGGAGCCCTCCACTACGGCGTTTCTCATAATCATATGGTGGTTTTGGGACGTTAAACCACACAAATCAATCAATCACAAGCGAAATACTTGAACCCCACAGAATTCAGAAGGCAGGCCAAAAGTGCGTCAGCGAATCATCATTTGCTCTCCATGTTAACAAATTATCAATTTTATTATATTAACACTACGTTATTTGAACAAGGCGGTTCTGTCCACACATAGGCCTTGTTTTAGTATTATTAGTTTTTTTTCGTTTTCTTACCTTGCAAGGGCATGCACGAATAAATGTATATGTTTGATTTTTCTGCAATAACTTTCTCAATTGAAAGACAGCGCTCGTTTTGTCTGCTTCATTCACTCTGTCTTCGATTTTTTTCTCCGTTTTGTTTTCTTTACAACCTACTTCTGCCCAGATGCGGCATCTGTGCCAAAAAGAATTACCTGTTATGCTAGGCATCCTTTATTGCAGAGTTCTGTTGATGACTGCTTTATTGAATATATATAGTTCGTGTATGATTTTATTTTTCTATTGTATATGCAATGTTATTCTCAAATATTGTAAATGTCTATTTAGCAACACCACTGGTACGCTCATGGAGCACGAGCAGGACCTCGTCAGGAGGCAAACCACTTTCTTTTGTCTTGACCATGCGCACTTCAGTTCTATTGTCCAAACTATGAAAAAAAATAGAATGAAATTTGGCCTGATACCCAGTCAGTGGAAGTCTACAGCTGTTATCGTAATCCAAATGCTAGCTAAACAGTCAACATTGAAAATCTTAGACCCATTTCTCCCGCTTTGCGCACAGGAAAATGACGGAGTGTATATTGTTGCAGTGTAACGCGAACAAAAGATGACAGCAGCTTACGGCAGCGAAAAGAGCGTGTTCAGAATCAGCTGTACAACTTTGTTTTGTTTTGTTTCCCTGGGAGGTTGGCTCATACCCACTCAGGGGGATTGGCCAAGAAAGTGTAGTGCAGTTTTTCTGTAATCATTTTAACTATGTGTAATGAATTGGTATTATAATAAGACTAATGTAAAAATAAAAACAATATAAAAAAGAGCAAACGAAAAAAAAATCAAGTTGAGCAATTTTGAGATTCGAGGTGTTATGTTTACCACTTAGCTGCGTTTACTTCACTCTGCCCTTGGGAGTAATAAATAATTTTTTTTTTTTTTGATTGAAGATCACAAAAGTATACGCTTGGTTACCTGAATATAATCGCAAACGGCATTGAAAGCATCCCAAAGCTGAGGCGCCAAAGCTTAGCGCCGTTTCCGCCGTCAATGTAAGGCCTATTTTCTGAAATGGCATAATTAGTAACCTTTTTCTAAGTATCTCGTAGCGGCGACAATACAAAAAATAATGATCTAGTGATTCCATTTCTCCGCAGAATGCGCAGAGGGGTGATGTTGTCTGACCAGCTCTGTGTAGATATAGGTTTAGGGGGGGGGGACACGACATCGAAATTTAGTGATTAAGACTTCGATCTTTCTGGACTGACTCCAGTGGGGTTGCCATGGAAACATGAGGTGGTTATAGTCTGTCCATGTAATTAGTTTTTCTATCGTATCAGTGGAGATTGCTGATTTTCGATATCTTAAAGCCGTGATATATTCTACATCTGGCAGTATGGACATAACTGGCCCATCAAGTGCGGCTCGAGCTAAGGAATCGGCCAATTCATTTAATCTTAATCCACAGTGACCCGGAACCCATAGTAATCTCAGGAGTCTCAACTGCGGCGGTACTAATGTTTTGAATGTGCTTAGAATTCGAGAGTTCCCTGAAGCTGTCAGAGCTGCACAAACTGAAAGAGAATCCGTCATTATTACTGCATTGTTTTGATTTGATGGAAGTTTTCGAAGAGCTAAAATAATCGCCAAGAGCTCCGCTTCAAAAACTGGAGTAAAATCAGGCAGTCTCACTGAAAAGGACCAGTCAAGCAAATCAGAGGCAATGCCTACACCTGCCTTTTGATTATTTACGGAAGCATCTGTGGCTATTATATTTTTAGTTTTTGCATGCTCCGAGTAATCTAATAATATGCTATTTAAAAATTTGAGGGATTGTAATTTGGCGTTTTGCGGGAATATATCATCATACTCAATAATAACATGACAATTCGAGTCATTAGTCTCAATTACATTTCTAATGTTCACATTTATACTTTGTAGATTTTTTTGTACAAACATTATCTGAGGTGTGTGAAACCGTGGCCAATCAGCAAGAAAGAAGGCGTCTGGGTTTGCGATAAAAGCATATTGAGGTCTTCTTGCCGGTAAGCTATAAAATTTTAAAAAATGCTTGTAGCTGTACAACAAGACGCCTGCTTCGTTGTCGTCCCGAAAACCGCCTGACCCACTAGCTGGAAGCTACAAAACATTCCTATCATCGTTCTTATTCATATTGATACAAAACAGCCGCTAAACACGGCTGCATGAAAGAGGAGGACGAACTTAGATTTTGTTAGATGCTGGTCTGGCGCCATCTTGCTCGTCGAGTTCTGTGCGCTGTAAATAGATCATTGAACAAGTTACTCGTAACATTATTTGTGGAGGTGGACGACCCTTGTACCTCGATGGAGACGCGCAGTGGTCGCACCATCGGCGACCTTGCGACTGCTTCGACTGCTGGTACTTCCTCTACGCCGCCCCCATCAGTCCAAGCCACCACCTACGTCACACTCCCGCACCTCCGAGATCCCGGCACTTTCTCCGGGGATGGTACGATCGATCTCGACACTTGGCTGAAGCGGTACGAGCGCGTCAATGCAACCCACCGCTGGGATCCCACGCTCATGCTCGCCAACGTGCTTTTCTACCTGGATGGCACTCCCCGAACATGATTTGAAAGCCACGAAGCCGACCTATCGAGCTGGGATCTCTTCAAAGAAAAGATACGTGACCTGTTTGGCGATTCATCTGGTCGTCAGCTCACTGCGAAGAAGACTCTTGCCACACGGGCCCAGTCTTCTACTGAATCATACGTCTCCTACATTCTAGACGTTTTGGCCCTTTGTTCCAAGGCCGACCAGTCCATGTCGGAAGATGAAAAGGTTAACCACGTATTGAAAGGCATTGCCGACGATGCGTTCAACCTGCTGGTTTTTAACAACGTCTCGAGCATCGACACCATCCTTAAAGAATGCCGACGTCTCGAACAAGCTAAAGCCCGCCATGTAGCCCAAAACATCGTGCGCCTTCCGAACACAGCGGCCACTTCTTCGTGTGACGACGTCTTCCACCAGGCCCCTCTATGTGACAACCTCACACGCACCATTCGTCGAGAGGTCGAGGCAGCACAATCGGTAGCCACGCCACTACCGATGCCTGCGCCTTCCCCGACCACGATTTCTTTGATACAAGCCGTCGTTCGTCAAGAGCTATCGAATGTCGGCCTACATCCTGTTCCTGCCGTATACTCTGCTGCGCCTTCTTTTCATCCCCCTTCTGCTCCTCGCATACAACGCAATCCGTCCGAATGGCGTACCCTTGATGACAGGCCCATATGTTTCAGGTGTCGACGCGTTGGTCATATCGCACGTCACTGCCGCAGCCGCTGGGCTCCACCGTCCCATTATGCACCTCAGTATCACACCCCTTCTGCTCGCCAGTCGTCCCCATCACTTTCTCCATCAACGGCGACCACATTTTCCGCCCCTACAGCACCTCTGAGCAGACCTCGCTACGACCGGTCACCGTCCCCTGCTCGTCGTCAGTCCCGGTCGCCCTCACAACGCCGTGCAGCCTCCCTGACCTATTCGCAGCATCTCCGACCGGAAAACTAGGCCGTGCAGCTTCTGGAGGTGGAGCTGCGTTGAAGACCTTCGTAAGAAATCCTCGATTAACGTTAACAACGAACCGGAACCTTTTGGACGTTACTGTCGACAGTGTTCGTGTCAGTGCATTGATAGATACTGGCGCGCATGTGTCCATTATGAGTGCTAACCTTCGCCGCCGACTTAGAAAAGTTATCACGCCCACCCTCAACCGGGCTGTACGAGTCGCCGATGTAGCAACTGGCGCAATTCTTGGCATGTGCTCTGCACGAGTATCTATTGGGGAGAGAAACACTCTCGTTCTTTTCGCCGTTATCGAACATTGCCCTCATGAACTCATTCTCGGTATGGATTTTCTAGCCACGCACTCTGCCCTCATAGACTGCTCAGCTGGCTCTCTCCATCTCGATTTACCCCTCTTTTCCGACCCGACCAGCCCACCGCAAACCAGCCTCTGCTGCATTGATTTCACGCGCCTCCCTCCTAACTCTGTCACACATGTCGACTTATCCTCCAC